ACATGCTCACTGGACAGGTTTGGCAACTCACAGGCAGCAAGTACATGCTATCTTTAAAAAATATTAAATAATGGGTGAAAAATATGTGGGGATCTTCTTTTCCATACTCAACAATGTCCTAGAAGGGGCAAAGAGAGAGTGGTACTAAGTTTAACTTGTTGCAGCTGGCCAAGACTGATGATAGAGCAAGAGAAGGCCACATCTGCAAAGTTTAGCTTACCAAGAGCAATTTGCATCCTAAACATTGCTATTTCTAGACAGCATCAACACCAAAACTAAACTAAACTGTATTTAGGATCTCTGTTTTGTGCTGTGAGGACTCAGGAGAATTAGATTGCTTTTATCTAACTTCATTAACAGTTACGTGTTTGCCTTAAAATTTAGTGACTGCCTGAATCCCCCCACAAAATTAAGATGACTCAGACCTCCAATCCTACACAGACTGTTGTAGTTAAATGCAGTTTGAGACAAAATGATTTTTGCCAAACCTAATGCTTTCCAGAGAAAAAATTAGGTAAAGTCAGTATTTCAGTTTGGCTAAACTTTGTAAACCACTTTTAAGATCTCCACATAGAGGATGCTGTGTTGAAGTTGAAAATGTGTAATTGGCTTACTTTATTATATTAAAGCTAGTGCTCTACTTTTATAAAGAAATGAGAACATCTTTCAAATACATCTGACTCCAGATGTGATTTCGAGCTTTATACAACCATCCCCATTAAGGGAACATGATGTTCTCAAGGGGAAAGTTCAATTGAGGATAGGCAAACATGTTTTAACAGATTTGTTTCCCCCATTCAATTCCATTAATCTTTATTTTTCAGGATTTAGCCAGAGTAGAATCATCTGGAATGTAGTTACTGTCTTTTTTTCCCCTTACTTCTGAGCAAAACTGCTTCTAAACGAAAATATGGAAATATGGCTTTGATTAATACAAAATGTATACTGGATGGGACCCAAGTCTGAAGAATTTTTTCCCCTTAACTAAGAAGTTTTTGCCAAACTGCCCATCCTCATAGATTTAACAGACTAAAAGTTTGGCCACACTGGCTGGTAATTTTGGAAGTTACAAACCAAACACATCTAAAGAGTAGCAATCAAGTTTTATATACACCAATCTATTGTTGGTGCTGATTTCCAACTGATTTCCTGCAATGCATCCATACTATCATCAATACCTACTCCACGTTATAAACTTCCTTGGAATATTACTCTTTCTGACACCGTGAGATGTCCATGGACCAAATGTGGAGTCAACATTAGCCTCTATATTTTCATTCTTATTGCTGATCTTTGTCATAAGAATGCCTCACACAGTGCATCAAGACAAGGCGTTATTTTAAAGTGACAACTATCCAACCACACTGTTTTATGACTACAGCACACAATTTCAAAACATAACATCTTAACATTGAAATTTCAAAAACATTTCAGAGGTAATTGTATACTGTCAGAGCCCTTAGCAGTTGTGGATGTCAAGATTATATACTTCTGCAGTCTCTCCAGGGCCTTGTCAAATACTCCTGTTGATTATCATCCTGAGAAAATACCTTTTCTTCAAGAGATAGTAAATGGCTAGCCTTTATTTCAACTGGCTTTCTTCCCTCTGCTTTCAGCAACTGCAGCTGGTTTCCCCTTCCACTGTGGTCATTTTCTTCTCATAGTCATTACACTCTGGTCAGAGTGAACCACCCTCGGGTTGGCTATTGGTTTTCTAAAGGGCTGTGACATTTTAATCCTTCAGTGTGTTCCCTTGCCAGTTTTATATTTAATCCTTCCTCCTCTAGCAGACGTTAGAGCCAGTATGATTTTCTTGATCTCTTCTCTGGCTGGGTGTAAGAAAGTAAGCAGATCTATTTCTTCACACAATTGGTTTCCTCACCAAAAAATGCAAAACATTTTTGTCTAGACAAGCAGATGAGAATGATGTGTCTTTGGAAATGGGATACACTGAGGCAAACTCTCAGATGAAACATTTAAAGGATGGTGTGAAAATTAAAATGTAATACTGGACTTTTCTACCCTCCAGATGTGCTTAGACTCCAACTTCCAGAAGTCCCTATGGAAGTTTAGCCACCAGCTAAACAGAACTCACAGTAAATGCTAGTGCATCAAATTGCAGCTAACCAAGTTGCATCCTGATGGCATATATCAAGTCAATTAATGTTATAATCCAGTGAAATTTTAACATTGCACTGGCTTATGCAGCAAAACACTATGATATGTGCTGGATTGAGTAACTGTGGTCGTTCTATTGTAGAAGAAGGTTGTGATACTAATGGAATACCAGGCTACAAATTATATGCACAGAAGGATATAGTATTTTAGAGCAACATGAGATAACTACAGTGGTACCTTGGGTTACGAATTTAATCCGCTCCGTGACTCTGGTCGCAACCCGATTTGTTCGCAACCCGAAGCATAAGGTTCAAAGTAATTACCGTTAATCTGTTCCGGCGTCCGCGGACCATGCGTCAAAGGCGGAAAAACGGCTGCGGACCACGCGGCAGGGCGGAAAAACAGCCGCGGACCGCGCGGCAGGGCAGAAAAACGGCCGTGGACCACGTGGCACAGGCGGAAAAATGGCCGTGGACCATTGGCAGGGAGGAAAAACGGCTGTGGACCATGTGGCACGGACGGAAAAATGGCTGTGGACCATGTGGCACAGGTGGAAAATGGCCACGGACCATGTGGCACAGGCGGAAAAATGGCTGCGGACCACGTGGCACGGGCGGAAAATGGCCGTGGACCACGTGTCACAGCGGAAAATGGCCGCGGATCCGGTTCGTACCCGGAGGCGGACTTCGCAAACCAAGGTAAATTTTTGCAGCCGGAGCTGGTCGCAACCCAAAATGTTTGTAAGCAGAGGCGTTCGTAACCCGAGGTACCACTGTATTTTGTTTCAAAAATTTATCAGAGCAATATGATGTTAGTAGAGGATAAGTAATGCTCTGGGTTGGTTTGTTCTGTTATTAAAATTCTCTGAGCTAGATTTCTGGGTTGCAAAGTGTTTCATTACCATGCTAGATATCAGCAGCAGCACAAGGCATTTGGTGAATGAGATTCATTGGCTGGCAAGAGTTATATAATATAATGATCTCAAAACATGCAGAAAATAAAGCATTTTTTTTCCTGTGCATCAACATCCCCAAAGTTATACTCATTGTTACAAAATACCAAACACATTTTTCAACATTATCATACATCATTTACATTTTTAAAAGTTTAATATACTTTCCATAAGATTTCCTTAGAATTCTATATTATTTTTCTTTCTTTTTTTTATGTTCACATACATTTTTACTGTAGATGAAATAACATCGACTATATTCTTATTAAAAAAAAAAACACCTAATTGAATATTCTGGCTCCAACCTGTCTACTGCCTTACCAATGTAATTGTGTGTTTGATTAACCTAAACCAACAGTTTACAATTTGTATTTACATGCAACTTCACATACTATCATTCCTTTAGAATTTCAATTGTTTTGTGTACAATTTCTCATTGAATTATATCAGTTATTTGTTTAGAGTAAAAAAAAAAAAAGACATGTTATTAGAGACTGTGTGGCTCACTTCTGTTGGAATTTATCCTGATATTTCTATTTTGTTCTTAAAATTAAAAGGCAATCTCTGGACCCATTACTTAAGAAAATGAAGCCAGCAGTAATTTTACCAATTTTCCAATTGAATCTCTGTGGGTCAGGACACTTGGCTCATTCTTTAGGTTTACCTTTGCATCCTAATTTTACATTCTGAAAGGGGTTCTGAAATTACTACTTGCAAGGATCTTCATTAGCAGAAGTCGAACTCTTACAACCATTACAATAATTTAGCTTTCATTTTTTTCAAATGTTTCAAAACCAAATATTTTAGTTCAATGTTGAATAATCTATATAATGAGCAGAAGAGGACAGGATCATACCACCTAAAACTTGGTAACCTTTTCTGCTACACATCCATTCATTTCTCATGGATACTTACATGGTACTACAAATACATCAGATTATCTACCATGAAATGTAATTTACTGACATACTATACATACCAAGGTGCTCAAAACAGATATACCATCCTAGTAGCAATATGCACATTTTCAATATTTTTATGATACTGAGTAAAATGATTTTATTTATCCTCATGAGAGGAGCATTATTATCATCAAACTTAAGACTTAGAGTCTGTTGTTGGATCAGGTTTCCTATGGTGAGTTGTCTTCATATAATGCATCACTGGACAAGGGATGAAGTCATGATGCAGGAATCAAGCAAATACAGAATCCATCATATTTTTGGTCTGAAGGTAAGAGCTGCTATTACAAAAATCCAGACTACGTGCATAGTAAATTAAGTAGCATAACGTATAATTCTCTCTGTCTTCCATCTACATATTTCTATGGGTGTGTTAAGCTAGCTACCTTATTTATGATCAATATTAAAATAGACACAGTAGAAGATCAATTTTGTGAAAAACTGGCTTCTTCTCCAACCATAAATAACTACTTCCTCTGAAGCTTGAGTGAGCAAAAGGATGAGTGGCATAGCTGTAATGTACACTTTCAAATGAGTCTAGTACTAAAATGTTGTATTTATGGACATATCTCAAGACAGCTATTGTGGCAACAACTTTTAGCCTTCTGTGCCTCCACTTAAATGACTAGAAATCATACTGAACTGCATTGCTAAAGAACCCAGAAATCAACAAATAAAATAATTTGACATGAGTTCATCTTTTTCATGAAATTAAAAACAGTTGTAAACAATATTTTCTTCCACATATGATATCAAACAGATCATTGACACATCAGTTAGATAAGACAAGTAGAATGCAGATGTTTAAGAGTGGTTTGTAGGTTATTGAGCAAGTACTTCTAAAGAATGCCCATATCATCTTGTAATAGTATTGAAATAGTTCATTCACTAGATATTTCTTAAAAAAGGGATTGTCTTATAGCCATTACACCCAAGTAAATATTGAAAGAAACCTGAAGATCCTGAAACAAATGTCAGAAAAATCTAATCATATTTACAACATACAGTATATAAAAATATGTACCAGCCATAGATTTTGGCTCCATAAATCATTTAAAAGGCCACTTGTAACACCACTTACATTACATGTAAATTTAATTGCACACATGCATACCCATTTACTTTAACTTTGGAATTTAAGGAACAGAAGAAAGCTAGAATTAGGTTCCTCTACATCACCACTTTAATACATTTTGCATTATCCAGTAATAGTTTATTTCTATATTATTCTCTTAAAATATATTTAAACCAAAGAATAGTATTGACTCTTTCAATAAATGTTGTTCTTATTTACATCCCAATATTCAGTTATACACAAAGACTTCATGACTGTACGTTATCTTTACAGAGCCTTTCATAATACATAAGAGCTTTAAGCTATGTAACATTTAAGCCAAAAAAAGTACCACAACTGAATAGCTGAACATAAAAAGTCTGGCAGTAACCCTGTCCTAGACTGTCTCACTGGAATCAATCCCCTCTTTGCTAAAAAGAAATTATTATATCCCATACTTGGGAGAAGAGGGTATGCTTAAGTAACCATGGGACCCTCCTGAGACCATCAAATAGTACTGAGCACATTCTGACATTTGTTTATTTCAACTCACTTTGAAGTCTATATCTTCTCAATATAACATTTGTGATCTGCATACCCTCTATTTATTAAAACCATTTCTTTCTGGCAATTTCAGGGCATTATTGTCTTACAGACTGGTCAAGTAACTCATAAAATCTTTTTTAATGTTAAAATATCTCACGCAAGCAAGAACAGAATTTCTGTTCTACTGGGAGATATGTTTTCATATACATTCAAACAAAGTTTTAGAATCTAAAGCTACAGCAGCACTTGTTTCAAGTTAGGGTGCATGTGGTTGCAATAAAGAATATAAAATAATTGAAATCTCACTCTCTCTTAAAACACAAAGGATCTTATACAAATAGCATTTGTGCTGACCCATTACATAGTGGTTCAGTTTGCTGGGCTTTCCAGTCGACAAACTCCTCCTTCAATTGCTACTGACTGTCCTGCCACAGCTCCGTGTGGAAGCCTTGAAATGTGAGTCTGCAAAGAAATGTGTGAGAATTTGAGAGCTCAACAAGTAAAGGCCAATCAAAAAGACACTGGTTAACAAGAATCAAAGAATAGGCTTATATTCTTAAATATGATACAAATAATTTCTACTATTCCATTCCTGGAAATAGTGGCTGAGAATGGGGCTGTCTTACAACTAGATGCATCTGAAGAGAAATTGTTTGGAGGAATACAGGACTGGGGTTACCTTGTGGGTGACTTATACTGGAAATGAACTGGGGAGACCAACTCTGCCTGTTCTCTAAATACATACCAGTTTCTGATATCATTGTGATGGAATGCCTAACAGACCTTAGGAGCACATAGGAGGCATCCAGAACAGGTTCATTCCAGAAGAGTTTGAGTCCAGGGGATGGAGGAAGCATGAGAAAAAGACTCAGAGTAACCCCACTTTAATTACACTACATATAAGTTGTGCAGGAATTATTTTGCTTTATTTTCCCTACTAGCACAACAGATCTTTCCAGAAATCCAAATGATTCTTGTTTCCTGAGTTTACCAGTCCTGCAGGGCTTGACATTGACCATAACATCCTTCTGAATTGTGTGGCTTTGAGAATTTTCCAATGGTTTCAGTCCCTGTATAAGTAGTAGTGTCAAGAATCTGATGCTGGGTGATTATTCTTTAGCACCTAGGTCACTGGTTTACAAAGTCCCACAGGATTCCAACTTGTCTCTCATGCAAAGTTTTGAAGTCAGTCCATCTAATTCCAAAGAAATATTGAATACCTTTCAACATTCCCTAAATTCAATGGTGGACTACATGAGGGAAAATAAACTGAAATTTAACCCAGACAAAATGGAGATGCCTTTGGTCAGTAGGAAACTAGATTAAGGGACTGGAGTTCAGTTTGTTCTGGATAGGACTGCACATCCCCTGCAAAAAGAGGACCACAGCCAAGGAATGCAATTTGATCCTCAGCCATAACTTGATAGACAGGTAAGGAATTACGACAAGGAGCATAACTGCATCTGGCATATAGCTATAACCAATCCTGGGTTGGTATGATTGAATAGCAGTTTGTCAGGTTCAGCCCAAGAACAGCAACAAGGCAATCCAGTACAGTTCAGTTCCTTTA